AAATTAAAACTAATAAAAGATAATTTGATAGGGCATATATTGCGCTATGATAGTTTGTTGAAATTAATTATTGAAGGATATGTGGATGGTAAAACCAGAAGAGGAAGATCAAGAATGGAATATATGTCACAAATTATGAAGGATATGGGTATGGAAAGTTACCGAGCTTTAAAAGAGCTGATTTATAACAGACAAGCTTGGTGAGCTGCGGCCAATCTATCGAAAGATTGAAAACCGAAAAAAAAAGGTAGTCTTATACCGTTATTAGGACAAAGCCCTCAATTTTCGCATATATATTTTATTTTAATATTAGTATAGATTTCAGATACTGACCAACTATCATTGCGAACAATTTTTTTTGGAAATCCAGAGATTAGTGCGTTTAAACAAAAAAAAAAAATCTTTTCAGCTTTATTATATTAGTATTATATTTTAATAAAATAATAAAGCAAAAACAAAATTATTAATGCTCGTAAATAAATACACAAATAAAACATTTATGCATAAAAATAAAAAATAAATATATTAATACATGTGTGGCCTGGAGTAATATAATAAGTGTATTATACATCCGATTTTCGAATTAAAAATTCATCATCAATCAGTTAAAATGTAAACCGTGACTGAATACAAAAAATTAAATAAAGGGATACACAGAAAAACAAATTTACAAATTGGTCATTTTAATAAGAGAGATTATTTATTATCTAAAATGTATTGATATAAGATATTATTTTTGAAATCGGTTGTACATTTAAAATATTATTAAAATAATTTTTCTTTAAATTGTATATTTGTAATTCTTCTAAAACTGAATTAATATAAATGTTATTTTGGGTATTTAATATCTCTAAGTCTCTACTTATATCAAAGCTTATATTATGGTATTTTTCTTAAACATGTTTAGCAAATTTTGAATTAGGGGCAGTGTTTTTTAATTTTATTTCAGAAATATGATCTTTTATATCTTATTTTTAAAATTTCTATTTGTCTTATTTATTTACAATTTATTACAGTTACATATAAATTTTTATATAGTAGCATTTTCAAAAGAAGAGGGATTTTTTGTAAAGGTTTTTAGTTCTATTGTTTATATTTTTGATTAAATTCAGAAATAGTTCTGGTAGATAAATCTAATGCTATTGTTATCATTTACAACTAATGAAATTTAAAAAAATTTTTTTTGATATTATAAATAATAATAATATTCAAAACTTAACTACAATTTATACTAAATTAATTAACAAACTGAATACAAATTCGTGATAACAAATTTATATTTTTTTTTGTTAACCTTATTTTTGGGGGTAAAACCATTACCTACTTTTGATTTTTAAAAGGCAATCTATATTAATAAACGTCTATAAATAGACGGAGTATTAGTTAAAATAAATTATAGTGTTGACATTTTTGATTTCTGTCAAGCCGCGGAGTCGGACAGCTCGCTCACATCGACCTAAGATAAGAGTGCTTTTTTTATGGGCAATTATATGTTGTTCATTCTCGAGTAGGATATCCTGAAAATCAATATGTTTTGTTGCCACCTATAAATATACCACTGCCAAAATTGTGTACAGTGAAAATTTAAGGTAAAATTTGGAAAATAAAAAGTAAAAACCTAGACAATTAAATGAAGCCTTAAAATAAAAATGTAATTCTAATCTAGCAATAGCAAAGCATTGCCGGGACAGCTATAGTGCGTTTCACAAAATTAGAGACTTGACTGCAGCGCGAAATCAGTAGGGCTCCTAAATATATGCACTAAAAAGCGCGCGTAAATTGAACTGCTGCGTACAGCGCTCAGTATATCGAATGACATGATTATGAACTAATGATTCTTTTGATGCCAAAATAATGATACCATATTAACGAAAACAATATCGACGTGCACACGTGTTTATTTTGTACTTCAATTTAATAGTGATTCGATAATTATCAGTGTAACCCGTTACAGTATCATTTTTGTTTTAATAGTTGTTTTATTGATTAGTGATAACTATTAGCCTGCAATATTTGAAAACTAGTGTTTTTTTTTTTTTTTTTTTAAATAATGACACGACGTTATTTCATTGTTAAGACATGAAAAAAATTAATATAATTTGTATTTTTATTATATACATATTTGTGTTTAAATAATATATTACTTTATTTTAAATTTGTTTTTGGTAAATATCTAAAAAAAAATTCAACATAAAAAAGGTATGTTTAATTTCAAATCAACCGTGCTTTTGTAAAGTTTGAAGGACACTGAAATCTACATACGTTACATTGTTCCCCACTTTTTTGAATTTTGGATTTTTAAATACCACTACGAATTTGTTTGATAGTTTTTAGAATTTGTTTGGCTATCCTACGACTGCTATAACCGAAATACTGTTGGAGACGATAGACACGTTTCTACGGCTCCCCGATTTTAAAAAAAACAACACATTTTTTGACGTTTCGGTGTTAATTTTTTTTATATTATTATGAAATAAATTAAAGCCTTTGTTTTAATTTAAATAATAAAACTTGAAAAGTATTTAATTGTAAATAGAAAACAAATTTGATAATAATGATTTCATTCAGGTATTTACAATTTTAACTAAACGATACATATAATATAAACTCGCGATCGGCCTGTGTAGTATCTTTTACTGTAGAAATGTTTCACGTACATTTTACGCCAGTCCATGAAATATTTTATTTATAAATACACTAGTTTTATCCTGTTTAAATTATCATATCACAATTACTAACATTTACGGATCCTTTACACGAAGCCACTCGGCAGCGCTACTTAGCAGTGCTGCTTTCGGAAAAATACATACGCATACGGATGGTTTCATACACGATCACAGCCACTGATTGGAAGCGCTACAGACGGTGTGAGTGGCTGGCTTCGTCGCAGAACGCCGCGTCTAAAAGTCGCGCTTCTCGTAACAGAACGTATTTTTAGATTAGGCGTTTCACACGTGACTATTTATTTTTATTTTTAGCAGCGCTTGGTTGCACGTCGGTAGCGCAATTAATACGTGTTTGATCAAACGTTATCAATTATTATTTTTAATTTATTTTAATTTCAGTCTTTATTAGTCCGAGTGTAGTTTTCTGTCAATATTCGTTTACTAATACGTACTATTAATGAAGGAATACATAGCGAAAAAGTTATAAAATTAGTCGTTTTACATAGAAATAATTTATTTAAATAGGAGAGATTATTTAAAATGAGTTATTATTATTACTACGATTGTTTTTCAGAGCTATAATGCAATGTACATACTTAGGACATTTTGAAACTGAACATAGATCGAAATAAAGACGTCTAATTAGATTTGCAAAAGACAATGTTATTACTTCAAACGTTCGTGAGCAATATACGAATATTATTGAAACCAAGAAGTTAAAAGATTGATGTCGATAATTTTAAATGATTTTCGGTGTAGTTTTCTAATGATTGAGAAAAACCAAAAGTATGGGAAAGTTTATGGAAGGGTGACATAATATTTTTTTTAAGACGTTTAAGATCAAATTTTGACGAAAATCGTAAAAATTACATTTCAAAATATAATTAATCGAACTTAGTTTTCTGAAAAACGATTCGTTAGAAATGATTTACAATTGCGTACTTACAAATGTAAATACAAGTGTTACAGGGGATGCTAATCCAGCAATAACAACAACTGGAAATTCGTTATGTGTTATGTCAAGTACACTAAAGGCTAATCGAAGGCATACAAATATTTTAGTGTCCTTATTAATGACGAAAGAGGAAGATAACTTAAAGCATATTATGTTATATAATATAGGAATAGATCCATTGTCTTCATTATCATTGTGCGGAACTAATACATATTTACAGAGATTATTACTGTAATGTTTCCAAAACCGTAATCCAAAATTATGTATTGATGCTACGGGTTCAGTAGTTAAGAATTTCCAAAAATTTAAAATGAGAAAAACATCCAAAATATTTTTGTATGAAGCTATAGATATAGCTTACAATTAAATAAAATTACACGGGTTTACAGTTACAAATATGTTGAGTGAAAGTCAAAGATTCCGCTATTCAGGAGGAATTTGAAGGATTGAATGGTTGCAATCCATTCCAGTCTTGGGTAGAAAATATTTACGATACTAGTAAGGAATACATACAAGAAGGAACAGGCAAAAATCCATTTTTTTTTTAGCAAAATTAGTTCCACTTGTTATTAAATGCATGAAATTACCGCCATGTGGTCTGCATATGTTGCCAGTTTTTTGGATATGGAAGTGTAACTACGAGTTCAGCATCTGTTAAATCTAGTTTTATAATACTAAAAACTATGACTTAAACAAAAACTGCCTACCTATTGATATTGAACAGTTTTTGGAGCAACATATTTCGTCTCTTAAGGGAACATCATTCTTATATTCCACTAAAGATAAATCGTTATCTGAAGATGCTGAAAGTAATAGAATTGAAATTATTAACAATGATCTGTCCTCCATTGTAGACAAAGATAATTTAAAGCAAGAATCTTTCTGGAAATCGGGTTAAAACAAAATGTCCACTATATGCTACGGGTAAATTATTTATTCATTGATTAAAAAAATTATTTATTTTAAAATTGTCATTTTTTAAAAGATAATCTACCGATACAAAATGGGGCTCATAAATGCAAAATATATATAGTACCTGTACATGCTATTTCTCCATGTTCTACTCATATTTTTGAACATGCCGATCAAAAGGGTGTACCATTATACAAATGGTATACGAAATAAGATAGAATAAGAATAAGAAGAAAAACCGATTAAGTTCATCATACATCTTTCCTAATCCTCATCTCCGTCACTTAGATTTAAACAGTTCACGAACAATAAAATCCCTGCCACTTTTTAAAAATGGATCTCGTTATGAGGAATTAAATTCTTGTAGAAAAAAGACCATAGAAGGGAGATTTATTTTAAACAATACACGGGGGGTTATTCACACCTGGGAGTTAGTGTACAAATATATGTAAGTCTATGTGGAAGTGATGGAAGTTTTGGAAGTTAGTTGGAAATCTCGGAAGTTAATTGGAAGTCTTGAAAATTAGTTGGAATATTTTGAAAGTTAGATGGTAGATATAGTACAATATATATTATATTTCATATTAATATACCTATAATTATATTGTATTTTATTTTAGTTTACTCCGGCGTTGGGAAAGTGGCGTCCCTATCGCCCAGTGCCCTTCATTGGATGCTGCAATAGCCCCACACTGATCTTAAGTGATCGGAGTGGTCTGGCCCTCCAGGTTGGGGGTTGAGCGTCGGGTTAACAACCCGACCTTGTAAAAAAACTTCTGTTCAGGATTCGAACAACAACAAGCCTCGGACTAGATTGGGAAAAAAGACTGGAAATTGGATATCGGAATTAAAAGGTGGTACTTGGAATATACGAACACTATACAAACCTGGAGCAACTGTGGAATTAGTAGAAGAGATAGAGAGATATAGAATGAAATGCGTAGCATTACAAGAGGTGAGATTAGAGGACGCAGGTACAACAAAGATATCACNGCCGACGGAGGAAAAAGATGAAGAAATAAAAGAAGAGTTCTATAATACACTAGAGGAGGTATTTGATACTACGGTGGGAAATATTAAAATTGTACTGGGCGACCTAAATCTAGAGGAGGTATTTGATACTACGGTGGGAAATATTAAAATTGTACTGGGCGACCTAAATGCTAAAATAGGGAAAGAAAGGGTATACCAGAACGTGGCAGGAATGCATAGCTTCCATGAGCACTCGAATGATAATTGCTCTAGACTAGCAAATTTTGNAAATAAAAGAAGAGTTCTATGATACACTAGAGGAGGTATTTGATACTACGGTGGGAAATATTAAAATTGTACTGGGCGACCTAAATGCTAAAATAGGGAAAGAAAGGGTATACCAGAACGTGGCAGGAATGCATAGCCTCCATGAGCACTCGAATGATAATGGCTCTAGACTAGCAAATTTTGCATCAGGAAAAGGTTTAATAATCAAGAGTACAATGCTCCCACGCAAAGATATATATAAATATACTTGGGTGTCTCCGGATGGAAGGCACAAGAACCAGATTGATCATGTACTGATTAACAACAGGTTTAGAAATAGTATAACTAATGTAAGGACATTAAGAGGAGCCGACGCAGATTCTGACCATCTTCTAGTAGGTATTTGGATAAGAGTTAAATTCAAGAAACGATACAGACACAATTTAAATACTATAGATAGATACGATATTGAGAAATTAGAGGAAGTTAATATACAGAAAGATTATGGCAGAAAAATCGGCGAAACTCTCAAAGTACAGCAAATAACAAACACAGACGATGTGAATGATGTGTGGATCAAAATTAGAAACACTGTACAACTGACTGCAAAAACAATAATAGGAATAAAGGAAAAGAGGAAAAAACCCTGGTTTAACCAAATAACGCTTCTGCGTCATGTCTCCTCTTTTTATCGGGGGGAGGAATGGCTGAAGGACACTAACAATGAAGAAAGGACTGCAGAGCAGATTTCAGTAGACGAAGGAAAGAAGCTCACAATATAATAAGAGGCGAAAAAAGAAAATATATCCAAAACATTATGAAAGACGCTGAACAAGACTTTAGACTAAATAGAACCCGAGATATGTATAAGAGAATAAATGGCATAAAAGGAGATTTTAAATAGAAAGAACGTTTTATCAAAGATGATGATGGAATGTTAATAACTACAGAAAAAGAAATAGCTGAGCAATGGAGAAAGTATTTCGACGGACTATTAAACTGTGAGGAACCAACCGAAAAGTTCCCCTTTAATATTGAGAACATAAATACGCAAGAATGCCCGTACCCTACATTAGAAGAAATAAAAGAACAAGTGCATAGATTAAAAAATCACAAATCCCCAGGGGAAGATTGTATTCAAGCGGAACTCTTAAAAAAGGGAGGAGAAGATGTTATACGGTGGATCTGGCAAGTAATTAGTAAAGTATGGACATCAGAGAAACTTCCAGATTATTGGAAAGTGGCGGTAGTATGTCCATTTCACAAAAAAGGAGACAAACAAGATTGCAACAACTACCGCGGAATATCCTTGCTTAATGTAGTGTATAAAATATTCTCGAATTGTGTTTTAGACAGGATAAAAGAAAAAGCGGATCAAATAATAGGACACTATCAAGGAGGGTTTAGAACTGACAGATCCACGACGGACCAGATATTCATAATTAGGCAATTGTATCAAAAATCTTGGGAATTTGATAAAGAGGTTCACACACTTTTCGTGGACTTTAAAAAAGCGTATGATAGTATCCATAGAGAGAGTCTATTGAATATTATGAAAGAATTTCATTTTCCACAAAAGCTGGTCAATTTAGTATCTATCAGCGTCATGGAGACCTTGATAAGGATTCAGATAGGAAATTTAGTAACTGAACCGACAACAGTGAACTCGGGGCTAAGACAAGGTGATTCGCTATCGCCGATTCTGTTCAACGTGGTTTTGGAAAAGGTTATTAGAGAAATGAAAATTGGTTCTAACGAGGGTATTAGATTACAAGACACGTCGATAGGTCTACTTGCTTATGCTGACGATATAGTATTGATGGAAGAGTCTCAGGATAGATTGAAGATTTTATTCAGTAGATTGCATAAAGCAGCATCAAAAGTAGGACTATGTGTAAATGAAGAAAAAACGGAGTATATGTTTTTGAGTAGACGGGGACTACCTTTTTGGCAATCCATAAAAATAGATCAATATGAATTTAAAAGGGTAGAACAGTTCAAATACCTAGGGTCTATTTTGTCTGAGAAAAATAATGTAGCAATCGAGGTAGCAGCAAGAATCCAAGCTGGGAATAAATGTTACTATGGACTGACTAAGGTACTAAGCTCACGAGTAGTGTCGCGAAGAATGAAAGAACAATTATATACGTCCTTAATACGACCGGTTGTAGTGTATGGATCAGAAACATGGCCACTCAGAAAAATGGATGAGCATAGATTCATGGTCTTTGAAAGAAAAGTGTTGCGGAAAATATATGGCCCGGTCAAAGATGAAATAACTGGTGAGTGGAGACGAAGAAAGAACTTAGAGCTGGAAACACTATACAGCAGTTCAGATATTTTGGAGNGGGTATTATATAATGTATTATCTCGATGATTAATAGCACAGAATTAATAGTATGATATGTTATTTATAGTATCTATATTTATATTTGTAACCATGTTTGAACCATAGAGTATAGTGATTTGTACATACTACACACTTTTAAATATTATCATCATTTAAAAGCATATTATGTAAATGTCGATTTAAATAGTATAAATTGCAGCTAGAATCATGTTTTAACCAAATTTTAACAGGAACTTCCTTTTCATGGGTAAGTATTTATTTTGTAAGAATATGTAAGTATAAATTTATTGATAATTATAATACCCGTTACAATAGGTAGGTTAGTAGTCTCTTAGATCATATATATTCATGATCTAAGGGTAGGTCATTAGGTAGTATTTATTTTTAAATATATTAATTGCCCGAATTATTTTATTTAGCTATTTAAAAACCTACTATATTTAATTATTACCAACTAGGGTATCATAATATTTGTAATTATTTTATTACCAAATGACATTTTAATGTTACTAATTTATTTATTCATTATATATCTATCCAAGACCGGTTATCACAAATAATTTGCACAAGTTACAATACCAAAACTAATAGAGAAAACTGAATGGGAGAAATATTTTGTTATCTTTAAAGTCAAGCCTGATAAATTTCAAATTACTGAATGGATTTAGATGTCTCTTATTAATAGCAAATTTGTATAAAAACTTATTAAATTAAGAACAAAAATCAATCACTTCTAATTTGATGGCATCAAAAACAAACACAAATATTAAAATAACTCCACAGTCAAAACAATAGTTGAAAAGTTTGAAAAAAATCAATAGATTATAATAGTTTAGTTATGAGTTTAGCTATTGACAGGGATATTGATGAAGGTTTGATGATTGATTTTGAAAAAGAAAGATAAACATTAAATAGTAGAATTAGATGTTGGATGAAAAAAAAATTAAACAATAACATTTGAAGTAGAAATCACTGACATTTTTCTAAAGTTTCTAAAGATATAAATATTTCAATTTATATTCTACAAATTGTGGAAGAAAATGAATGCAGAAGTGGTGAGTTATTGGTAAAAAAAACATGTGCAATTTGTAGTTTTAGACAAAAATTCAGAAGTGTTTGTCACCAATGTAGTTGGGTAACCAACTGGATCAAATTGGATATACAATCTTGCATTAACTCTCGTTTTGTTACCAAAAAATCAAAAATGCCACAAAACCAATTAATAAATACTTACTTCGCTCCAGCCACAACAGAACTCAGTAACCATGAACATTTTACATCTTTAAGTATATCTATAACCCGCTCTATAACGAGGAAATACATAATGATGTTCATTAACTTCAAACTCTTCTGTTGTTCAAAATACAGATTCTGATTACGACAGGGTCGAAAGTGGACAATCGATTTCTGTGTTATTCCCAGTTTTATCAGACACAATTATATCCAAAAGAGAATTCTTTAGTATTATTGGTAAAACAAAGTGGAAAGGTAAGAAATATAGTTAACGTGAATGAAATATCTGTAAGGGTCATCATAGTTTACTGGATGGTCATCAATTAATGTTAACTAAATATTTTTTGATTTTAAATCAAATCTAATAGCTCATTAATCAAAATAATGAATTAAAAAAATACTGCTAAATACTAAATAACAAAGCACAATGTATACTAATTTAGTTATATAAAAAAGAAATATGATTTCTTCAGGAAACTAAATTGAAGTATTATTGAAAACTGTTCAAGACAATTGTAAAGTTTCTAATAATTATAATAAACTCAGTGAATCTCTAAAAAAATGAGCATTATACATTTTTTTTATTGGTGGAAGACTTTTGTATGAGACACTTCAAAAAAATTTAAACAAATGTTTACAAATTGATTCTTCCCAATCCACTGAATTTAACACCACAAATTGGCCACGGTGGAAACTTCATTCAATTGGAAAAATTACGCCTTGTTACATCCTAGGTACAAAATTAAGAAATCAATTTGTAAACCTTCCATAATTTTACCAATGGGTCAATATTTATCATCAGTAACTCATTTGAAATGCTTAATTAAAAAAACCTTTTAAAGATTAACATTTTTTCACTAAAAGTGATTTATCATAAATATAAATAAAATGAACTATCAATCTGTTGAGAAGATGTGTTTTCCTAAAGTAATTACTCTTTTTAATAAAATACCAGAAACTGAAACTACTACTGCTTATCTCAAGTTGATATATTTTGTGACATCCAGCTTTATAGATATATAAACTTAATTTTAAGTGAACGATTATATAGAATATGGTATTGTGTGTTTTTCCTTCAGATATGGCATGAATTTCTAAGTGAACATATAAATTATAATTTAATTAGACATTTTATTACACTTAAAGTATACTATTGTATTAAAATCAATGCTCATGGATTAATAGAGCTAATATTTTATTTTAAAGAAAATAATAAATTATTAACACCAGACATTTATTACTAAATAATTTTTTTCTCATACATATGAAAATTTATTTCACACTGCAAGATCAATGACATCTACTTTTTTAACTGTAATTAATTTTTCAATGAAATAGTTTATCCATAAAATCAATCATATGGAGGTATTAAATAATACAAAAACGAACTACAGTCATCATCTGAAAAATCTAATTTAACAAAATTATTTCCAAGGAACTACCAAGCAGCAGACTATTCAAAAAACAAGACTTTTAAACATGTTGATACAATGTTTTCTACTAAAGAACAAATATCCAGTATTTTATGAGGATGCTAAAACTAGGGCAATCAGTTTCGGGATGAACATAGAAAATATAAACAATTTTAAAATGATTGTTCCAAAATGTTGGTTACATTCACAAGGAAAAGGGTTAAATTTGGAATAACAATTAGCAGATGAGTCAGAAGAAAAAAAATGTAATTGAAAATGTTATAAATGAATCTGAAAAACATAACTTAAGTGAACAAAAATTGTCCAGTAATTTTACAGAACCAGAAATAAACTTCATTCAAACTATCATAATAGAAAACGAAGAATTAAATTTTGATTTGTTTAACGATAACCTACATAAAAGTCCCTTTATCAGAATATGTACAAAAAATTATAATTTTTTAATTATTAGAAAACCATATTGTGCTGGTTATTGGATAGCAATATTAATTACATAAGCACAACATTTTGTAACAACTAGTAATAATACATCTAAAAAACTTTCTATGGAAAATAGTTGTTTAATTTCAAGATCAGAGAAAAGAAAAATTTTAAATATTGGAGATTGGGTAGTTTTTAAAATCAATAACAAAAATGAAAACAATTTTAATTTTGGTAATAATGAATATATTGATAATATAATATATTAACCTTTAAATTGGTTGAATATTATCTTTTTATAAAAATCCACTAATTTGCATATACAAAAACTATTTGAAACTGGTGACACAAAAAAAATTTTTGGAGTATTGGCTACTTGGTATGTGATTTTAACTAACCAAACATTAGAATTAATTACCATAAACATCCATAAATTTATTCCAATGTTGAAATATGTTTGCACAATATATAACCCAAGCATTGAATTGAGTATTTATCATGTCAATTTATTAAATTAACCGACAACACAATAATAGAAATTCAACATCTTGTTAACAAAACAAACATTAAAGAAAATGTAAATCAGACAAACTCAGAAGTATCAAGCAATGAATTTTCAGAAATTGAAGATGATCAAGATAATATGATTTTAGTTTCTAATAATCCAGATACATACATATCTGTGAAGATGAAAATTAAAGTAAAAACCAAACTCATTCATTGAAATAACAATAGAACAATATTATGCTGTTGCTTATGATAAAAAATGGTATACAGGAATAATACTAGATATTTCTAATGAATCCTGTACATTCAAATTTTTAAAAGATAATCTGGTTACATTTGAATAATCTCATTTTCATTATCATTTAAATGATAATGATATACAAGTAAATAAGATATACATTTTTCATGGACCCATTATACTATAGGGTATAGGACCAATTACAATAAAAAGATATGAACATTTACTGATAGATAAGAAACTTAAAGTACAGTGTAAATAAGTAAAAGAAAAAATTAAGATATTCAATATTGTTTTCTTATATTTTAATACCCGTCTTAATGTATTCAAAAGTATTAAATGTTATATTTTGTTTCTCTAATTTTTAATAGATATATTAGTATATATATATATATATTATAATGCATCAACATATTAATTAGTGGAAGTTAGTTAATTGGAAGATGTACAAAATTTGTCACTGTGAATAACCCTCGACAATGCATGTGCTTTCAATACATTAGCATCTATGATAATAGTATGTACTACTATGATATTAAATTTTAATCAAAATTATATAATGTGTTATAATTGTTGTGGTTTTCTCACTTTATGCCACTTGAAACATTTTTTTGTAGAGCAAATATTGTGAGAGCGAGTATTGTAAAATTATTGATGACGACAAAACAAATGGTTTTTTTCAATTTATAAAGAACAAAAAATTCTATTATTACTGAATTATAATTAATATTTTGTGTAAAATGGAGATGCTGTATCTGACCAAAGAAGTACCGAGGCAGCAAAGTTGGTTCGGCTACAATCAGGCAATATTCCACTAGTCATAAATGTGGATACAGTTAATTATGAACTTTGGGATGTTGTAATTTAAAAATGGGCAAGAGACATGTGGCAGAGTGGCATACACAAAATGAGGCAATTGATTATGGGAATTGCATAATGATTTAAAAAACAAAGAAATTCCTGTTTAAAGACACTACACGAGTTGACTTAGAGTTTAAATTATATACCGTTTAGTTAAAATATTAAATACCTGAATAGAAACATTATTACCAAATTTATTTTCTATTTAAAATTAAATACTATTCAAGTTTTATTATTTAAATAAAAAAAAAGTTTTTGTTTACTACATAATAATATACATACAATTTAGCACCGAAAAATCAAGAAATTTGTTGTTTTTTTTTAAAATCGGGGGCTGGAAAACTTGTCTACCGCTTTACACAGTATTTTGGTGATAGCAGTCCTAAGATAGCCAAACAAATTACAAATAAATTCGTGGTGGTATTTAAAAACCGAAAAAGGGGGAGAGAGCCAATGTAACGTAGTCTGAAATCCAAATTTTTGGCCACCGTTCGTGCACGCTACAGTCGCTTCTCTAATATTGTGAAATGCACTATAGTAAATTATAGTAATTAAGAAATTGACTTTAAATTAGATTCTGAAACAGAAGTGAATGTATTATCAAAATATGTATTTAACATTATAAAAAAAAAGGAAAATAAGATAAAACCTACTTATATTAAAATAATATCATATGGTGATTCAGCGTTTAAAATAAATCTATTAGTGGTTACAAAATTACTGTGCAAAATCGATGGACAAGAAGTAATGAATATGAGATTGACTTTGCAGTTGTAAATGCAGAATCAAAAATTCCTTTGTTGGTGTTAGATGCTTGCATAAAATTAAATTTAATTAAACTAGTAAATAGTTTTTTGATGAAAATTAAGCATAGAAATACAAACAGACGCATCAAACGGTGAATCGGCAGCAATTATGTTACGAGGACTTTCAATAGCATTTGCATCAAGGAGTTATAGAAAAATAATTATTGGCCATATATTTTAGTGTAGAGAAGATTCATATTTATATTTATAAACAAAAAGATATTACAGTGAGAGCAGAACAGAAGTTGTTAATCGCAATACATAAGAAAACTTGTTATCTAAAATTCATTGATTATGATATTAATTTAAAATACTTGTCAGAAAAAAATCAGTATATAGCAGATGCATTATTAAGAGCATATTTGAAAAATAAAAATACAAATTAAACGGACATCAAATTCAGGGATCGCTGCAATATCATATATAGCTAAGGCGGTGACGACGACTTATGCCGGTTACGTAACTATGAGAGTCATAGGTAACAATAGTGTTCAATTTAAATATAATACCCAACTTTAGTGATATACCTACATACAAATTAAGCGCATATTGCTGTATATTATATTACAGCAAAATTTAAATTACAAATAATAATTAATGAAATTTCAAAAAAAATAACTATCGAAAACATCTACACTGATCACATCACAATTTACAGTGATAGTTAATATGGCTACTACTCATTTGCTCTCATTTACTATTTTAACAACTCATTTTATGCACATAATTTATGAACAATAGAAACCTTTTTTTAAAAAAATTTAACTGACTATAGGATATACTTAACCTGCATATTTACCTACAAAGTGTTATATATGCATGCAATTTATACACTAAAACAGGCAAAATATGCACTGAAAAATAAAAAAAATCATGCAAATGCACTAAGTTCATGGCCCTGGTTATTAGAAATTGTGGAAAATTATTATACTCGTACAACATTACTACATTGAAATTTCAAATTATTCAATATTATACGCTTTTCTCTCCTGGTTGAACAAATAGCGTCCATCGTCATTACACCGCAACTGGAGACTAAACTAAAATGTATAGGCAAGAGATTTGTTATAACTTATAAGGTTAATCCCCGGGTTATTAATTATAAGCGGAAAAATTTAACAAAAATAATGTTAGATAAGAAATATAGCAATAAAGATTGAAGCTTATCCCACACGACTCACGTACTTAACGAACACGGTAAAAGCGATTATAACGTATTATTAATGACAACTGATGGGAAACACGATTGAAAAAATCGTTATACTTCAAGAAACCATGTACATCTAAAACTGCACCTACAAGTAAATGTTTCCGTTGTTCAAGATTTTGTGCGCAAACGAGTAGTCATAAATTAAAAAAATATATTCATACGCGCGCAAACGATCTTCCAACAGTTAATACAACTAGATGTCAGTAGTTTAGAAAAATAACGCTAAAGGAAAAAAAAACAATGACGATTTGTTTATCGTTAAATGCGCGAATTATAAAATTAGATAATGATATACAACCGTGTGTATGAGCGACGATCCAACAGCAACCTGTACGCGGACCGGACTACCGATGTTCAGAATGTCACAGCGACGTTGACGTGACCGGTATGCTCTCGTACGCCGATCGATCTTGACGAAGTCGCCGTCAAAATATGCATGAACGTCCAACGACGGAATATCACGGCAATAGACTTATGTTGAATATACACGAAACTACACACTCGACGGGTTGTCCACACGAACAAACGCGTATCTATGACGGTGAATGAGCGAGTGAAGCGTGTACAAGATTCGGTCCTCGGGCGCGGATTTGGAACGGCCAATGTCTGTTCGGATATGAAAATGGGCTGAACGCGATAGAAAAATGGACGAACGGCGGTATTGCAGTAATTACTATGTCGAGTACAGTTCGAACGTGTGGTTTGCTATGTACGGAAACGCACAATGAAGTCCGTACAGGGTTGCCAAATATACCAATAATAATATAGCATTGTAGCCAAATAATTTTCCATAGTAACCAAATATCGCCAATTGAAACTATCAAAATTGTTACCCACCCTTATCATCCTCATTTTATCTCTTCCTTTAAAAATTCAACCGTTGGATTGGGCATCTTATATTAATATAATTATACCCTGTATACTATGAGCGAAGTCTTCTGGTTACCACAATGGTTAAATGCGATTACAGATACTGGTTTATGATAAACAACATTTTTATCAATCCGATTTGTTTTCGGTAATCGCTAGGCCGCTAGACCGTTTGGCTGCAGGTGATAAGCCCATATTAAAAGCCAAATCAATATCAATTAGACCTCATGTTGATAATGAAAATAAACAATTTAAAACTACAATTATTAATTATTATAACTATAAAAAAAACTTTTTCATCTAAATATCAATAACTAAAAATATTTCTATTTTTGACTACATTGTGGATTCATTTCAAAAATCCTATTTTTAAGGTTTATATACAAAAACTTTAAAAGTAAGTATGATGGGTACTTTTTGATTATACCAATGGATTAAGCGTCTAAAAACACACATTTTGGAAAAAAAACACCCAAAAATCGCGTCATTGTAATCGTTCCAGAAGAACAGTCTATAGATGTGAAACTGTCAAATCGGTTAAATGTATGTTGTAATATATCGCTTATCAAAATTGTTATAAACATCGAAACAAAATCAAACCAGCTGTCGAAAACTATTTTAGCGCTGAGCGCTGAAGTCAGAGAGATTTCAGTGTCTCACGCTATAATTTTCGGGCTCCCATTATCTCGATTTCTTATTAACAGTTTTTAATGTTGCGTTGGCTATTTATGTATATTTAATCAATGTTACAACGAATAGAAATTCAAATAGGTTGGTACTTAATTTAAACGAGTATTATAATAGTTTTAAAAATAGAACGCTCCTTGGAATTCCATAAGATAATTAGATGTTTACAACTATTGTTTTGTTTTAATGTGTGACAATGATAACAAAAAATGTTTTCCTATACATGACTTACATCAAATCTTTACCTATAGTATTTAAATTTTTTGTGAATTTTGTTGTGGTATAAAACTATTTATTTTTGACTTTTCAAATTATGATTACTAAAATGTATATTGAAGCTTGTGCAAGTAAAATACTCATGATAAATATATATATGATTAATGATTATTTATAAAAACAATGATTGTTTTAATGATCCTGAGTTAGAGGAACAAAAGCCTAAAGTTTGACTGGCACTTATCATTAGATAAGACATCATTAGACATTTTCAATAGATACTCAGCAATAACCTACCTTACTGGTTGTGGTTATATTTCAATATTATA